GATCATGATCTGAGCCTAAGTTGGACCCTCAGCTAACTAAACCACCCAAACATCCCACTTCGTGTGTATTTTGTAGAGCAAGTTGAATTAGAAGAAATTTCCATTATTTGACTATGCTGGACTATAAAAATGAAAATACATTGCTGGCTGTTGTATACAATGTAATGTTCTATGCCCTTTTCTAAGACTGAATACAAGTAGGCTATTAAATATTCATTAAGATGAAACCCACACAGAATTGATGATGCAAGACAAAGTGCTTAGCAGGGCAGAGATGAGCAAGTCTCTTGTCTTTCCTGATGTTTTCTTTCCCTCTTTCCTTAAAAGATGTTCATTCCAAAGTAGGTTAGTTTCTCCAAAAACTTCAATATCTCTCACTCCTCCCTTTCCCCACCTATACTCATACTGTTGCCATGGACTGGAATGCCCTTTCTGTCCCAGGGCCTACTACGACCTATTTGCCCTCTAGTTCAAAGGTACTCCCTTGCAAAGACTTTGCTGTCAGCTTCTCGTCAAACAGGTGGGACCCCTGCCTTCCCACCTCACACAGGTCTCTGTCCAGCACTTAATTCTCATGTTGTAAAGACTGAGGTGCAAACATGAGAAAACAGTGTTTTTTAATTCTATATTTCAGGACTAATTTTATGAGACGTAGTATTCAAAATACAAACATCTATTTTTACACATAATAAGTGGGATGTCTCCAATTTTGGAAGTAAAGTCAATCTCTACTTGGTCTTTTACTGACATATTGTTTTTATAAAGTCTCTAAACACTTAAGTTTTTCTTCCAAGAAATCTTCTGAAGTAAGTTGATGTTACATCCCTGAGTAAAGTGGGTTTTTTCCCTTTCTTCTTCCTCTGTTGCTGTCGATCTATTCCATGTGCAAGGAGGGCAATGGCTTGCGCTAGGCTAGCAGAAAAATCAGCAATAGATCAGGCTGGGATTAAAAAATACTTATTTTTTCTGTATTTATTCGCTTAGTCAAAAAGTAGTCATTGAATGTCTCCTATGATCCAAAGGTTCTATTAGGCTGATACATTTATCATTCGTCAAACATATTTCTCTTGCCTTACTGCTTTACTTTTATATCTAACCTTTTTAAGGCTGAAGCATACCTTAGAGTATGTCTACAGTGGTGTGAAAGCAACAAAATAGAAGTTGTATTGTATGGGAAATTGTATATTAAAGGTAATGATAGAGTGAGCTCCATACATGGCAATTAGTTTACAATGTGCTCCCACAAATGAACTCAGACACCATGATTAATGCTCCCTGGAGCATTCAGTCTCTGTAACTAGTGCTCATTGTACTTACCAGAACCCTACTCTCCCAGATATTATGATAAATACCATGTTGGTTCTAATATTGCTCCAAGTGATTAGGTCTGGGTGTGAGGGGGTGGTGAGATGAAATGGAGATAAAATACAAAGTTTATGTGCTGGTTGCTTAGCAAGGGATCAAGCTGGCAACTCTAAGCGAGGTTTTAGGGTGACATGGGGTCATCTCCATCCAACACACCCCCATGCCCAGTCTGTGGGGGTGATAATGGGTTATAAGTACTGTTTCAAGTTGGCTTTTTGTTGGGTGTGTCTGAAAGCTAAACATCAGAAGGAGAATGAAAGAAAAAAAACTATCCTCCACTTCACAGGAGCAGAGAAGTATCTGGAACCTCACTCCTAGTACTCTGGGACAGTCCTGAAACAGAGGAGGGGCTGTCAGAGAATGACATCATCGACAGACAGCCTCATTCGCTGATGGGACTTGTGTGTAGCCAATACCACTGACTCCCCTCAGCAGGAGATAGACGTCATGATTAGAGCACACCACCCTTGTCAGTCAGCATTCAGTGTTGTGGATTGCGGATTTGAATCTCCAGAATCCTTATGGTGAAGCCTTAATTCCCAGTGTGATGGTGTTTGGGGATAGGGCCTTTGGGAGGCAATTAGGGTTAGGTGAAGTCATGAAGATAGGATTCTCATGATAGGATTAGTGCCCTTAACCACACAGCTCTCTCTCTTTCAATGTATATACACCACAGGAAGGCCATGTGAGGCCACAGTGAGAAGGTGGCCATCTGCAAGTCAAGAGGAGAGCCCTCACGAGAAAGAACGAGCTCACACCTTGATCTTGGATTTTCCAGCCAGAACTGTGAGGAAATTAGTTTCTGTCATCTAGGCTGCTGACTCTGGTATTTCGTTACAGCAGCCCAAGCAGACTGACATATTCTGATCCACCAGACTGTACTCCTCTTGAGGTTAGGTATCCAGTGTGTTCAACTCCTGAATCACTAGCCCATAGCAAAGGACTCCCTTCACACACACACACACACACACACACACCCAAGCCCCAGGAGTGATGGGGCAGAACAAGGTCTCCATGACTTCCTGGGACCACAATGGTCCAAAAGTCCTTATTAATTTGGGGTGCTCTCCATTTAGCTCTCCCTTGTCAAGAGTTCATCTAATCATGATAATGATGGAAACCAGAATTTAAAGAGCCCTCTCTGTGTGCCAGACAGGTACCTGACAAGTACTGTCTCATGAAATCTTCCCAACAACCCAGTGAGGTGGGTGCTACTTTTATGTACTAATTTTACAGATATGGAAACTAAGGCACAAAGAGTTTAGACAACCTAACAGGAATCCTAATAACATGGGATTTAAGAGTCTAAAGTTTTGATTGCTTATTCATTAAAAAAAAAAATACTGAACAGCTATTACGTATCATGCCCTGCAATAGGTGATAGGCTTCCAGGGGGGTCAAGATAGATGTAGTCCTGCTCTCCCAATCCAGTGACAGTAGACAGACAAAGAATTCACCATCTATACTCATAGCCCATAATATGTGCAATTAAGAAAATGAACAAAGTCACTGGGGACCTAGCTTGATAAGGCTGTTAGGAAAGGATGGTCAGAGGAGATGAGATTTGAATTCAGATCTGAAGGGAAAGGTGGGAGTGGAGGTGGGCATGGTCTTTCAGGGAAAAGGAACAGCACGTGCAAAGGCCCTGAAGAGGGAAAGTATTGAGCAAGTTTGAGGAGCTGAATGGGGCCAGAGAGGCAAGCCTGAGAGTTGGGAGAGAGTGTAGAGTGTAATGGGAGGGGTCTGAAGAGCCCTGAGGGGACAGAAGCATCGTTCCCATGGCTCACAGCACATCGGGTAAGAAAAGGAAGGGAGTAGGTGCTCTGTTGGGCACTGTGCTAAGGCCTTTATCTACAGTGTACCCTTCCAACTTCACCACAGCACCTGGAGGTGCATCTAACATATCTCTTTTGCACATGAGCTACTTGACCTCAAGACTAAACACATGACTTGGCCAAGTCCCCAGAGATGACTAAAGGAACTGAGATCTGGATCCATCACCATGTCCTGCCTTCCCTAAGGTCCCCAAGCCACCCCAGAAGGAGCCCAGCTTCCTGAGCTGGGATGCTGGGTGCTGATGTCCTGTCAGGGGACCAGGGGAGCAAGAGACAAGCATAGCCTGCTGAGCAGCACTCTTTGCCTGGACGAATGAGTTCCCTCCAGGTGTCATCTTTCTTTGCTCATCAAAGTGTCCTTTCTTGAAAGCAGTGATTACTCAAGTCTTTCATTTTCAAGGAAACTGTGCTGTCTTGGGTAAAAGGCAATGAGTCACTGCACGACTCAATGAAGTGCTGCAGTCACCTGGACCCCTTAGTGCAGGGAAAGGCTCCAGTGCCACCAAGCCCTCATCGTGCACTGTGGCAGAAGCCACCTTTGGGACAGGAATGGGGCTTCTGGTAGGGCTGGGCAGGGACAGTCCAACATCTGGGGCTCTGTGGCCTTTAGGGGGATGGCTCCCATCTTACACAAGAAGGCCCGGGGAAGGCCAGGTGGATCTGGTTGTCTCTCCCTTGCTATGTACTATGAGAACCCAGTTGGCCACAAGTTTGCTTTTCAACCACTTTCTTCTAAGTCCATCAACTTTTCTCCATATTTCTCAATATACAAAATGACTGCTAGAAGAGAGCTGAATGAAAGATATATTTTGTTGAAATTGTTGAGCATCTAAAAGACTTCTATCTCATAAGGAGAAGAAAAAGGGAGAGGGGGAAGGGAAAGGCAAAATAAAACCAGAGCCTCCTTTCATCCACTTAAATAAGAGTTTTCTGACTTGGCCATTCAACACACATTTCTTGGGAGCCTGCTATGTGCCTGCCGGGCAGCCGGGCACCTCTCTCGGGTGTCAGAGAGCACATAGCAAGGACTAAGGTACTGGAGCCTCCTGAGAGTTACTCGGGACCTGCACCTCAGTGACATGTGGGACCACCACATCCAAAGGTTGGGGAAGCTTTCAGGGGACATTGGCTTTTCGGTACAGAGGAGAATCAGGGGAATCCACGAATGTTAGGGCCATGAAGAATGGCAGGATTTCCCAGGAAGCACCCACTCTGTGACACTGGGAATCTGGTCTCATTCATGCACGTGTCCTACATCCAACAACGAGTGTGCACAACAGGTGCTCAAGAAACATGGTGGGATGGATGGTTGGGGAAGAGGGCAACAGTGGAAGCAGCATGGTGGTGACAATGCCTGACCCATGCTGAGAAGTCTCTAGCTACGTTGGTGCTTGGGAGGCTAAGTGGGGGATGGGGAGGGTGAAGGCCAGAAAGGCAGAGAGGGGTTTGGATGCTCGCTGAAAGGTGTGGATATTTCTGGAGAGGGAATTGGCAACTATTAAAAAGCAGAGTAACGTGGTCAGGGTCAAGTTTCAACAAAATTAATCCAGTCACATTTAAAACACAGATTAATTCATAATTGCACGCCTCTAAAAATCATTTCACATCTCTGGACTTCCCTTTCCTTATTCGATGCAAGAAGGTACGTGGGCAGGACTGTGATGAGTGACGTGGTCACCATAGGCTGCATGGAACACACCTGAGCATAACTGCCCCAGGGGAGAGGAAGGGAGGCCCCACCGGCCAGGCACCCTGGAGAGCCCACCCTGGAGGCCCTCCTGGCTCTGGAGATGCTCTTACCTGTAGTCCAGTCTCAGAGGGACAGTTTCCAGGCCACCAATCTGACAGTAAGGCTCCAAGTTGGAGAGTTCATACAGCTGGATTTCACGGTTTCTGTTCGAAGATCAAGCACAGCTGGTGTAAACTTAAACCCCTCACTTCACTTTTGTGAAACATATTTTATATTCCATGGGTTACACAAAACAGAGACCCCTGATCAGTAAACCACCTGTCATACTGATTAGCCCCTCTAGCTGAACCTGAGGTCTTCCTCCACCATTCCACCATTTGGGGACATCTCTTCTGCCCGCTTCTAAAACGGCCTGTCCTGTCCTTCTCTATCAGGAGACTGGCACAGGCTGCAACAACATGAGCTCTGGGTGCCAGTAGTAGGGGCGTTAGATCCCGGCTCACCACTCAGCCGCCCAGCTGCAAAATGGGGATCCTACCAGTTCCTGTCTTTCAGGAGCATCACACGGGAGGATGTGTGAGAAAATGATTAGTCTAGGACTTGGGGTTCCTAAGGGCTCAAAACGTGAGCTGTTGTTTACTGCGTATAACAAAGATCTGCCAATTGGAGGGTCAAGCCTCTTTCTGTAAACTAAAGGGTTAACTCGGTGCTCCCCCTAATTTCCCATCTTTCCAATCTGCACCCTTGACCTCTTCCCTCCTCTGTTAGCCTGTCTACCTTGGAGCTGACTGTGAGTATTAGAAATTACCACTTCGACCTGTTGGCATGGAACAAACAGGGGTCACTCTCTAAATTCCAAAGCCTTGTCTTTCCCTCAGTGTGAAATGTCTTTCTTTCCACCTCCTTGTCATCTACCCTGCAGCTCAAGTGGTTGCCTGGTGTCATAAGCCTTGCCTCATCTCTGAGTTGTCAGCTCAGATTCTCTAGTAAGTGACTGTGCAATTGCTGAATTGCTCCATGCGCAAAAGACATGATGATTAAATGATCAAGCATGGCTTTTAAAATCAAACTGGGCAGGGCGCCTGGGTGGCTCAGTCAGTTAAGCCTCTGAGTTCCACTCAGATAATGATCTCACGGTTCGTGGGTTCGAGCCCCTCATCAGGTTCTGTGCTGACCGCTAGCTCAGAGCCTGGAGCCTGCTTCAGACTCTGTGTCTCCCTCTCTCTCTGACCCTCCCCTGTTCACACTGTCTCTCTCTCTCTCTCTCTCAGAAATAAATAAAACATTAAAAAAGAAATTTTTAAAAAATTTTAATAAATAAATAAAATCAAACAGGGCAGAATGTATATACCCAGGCTTATTGTTTTTTAGTAGTTAATATTAATTATATGAATACATTTTAATATATTAAAGGATGTATTTTAATTATTAAATTTAATTGTATTTAATAGCCTTGATTATCTGAGGTTGGATTAACTGTTCATTAAAGTGGTTGAAGCCTAGGAAACCAGGGAACTCTGGAGAAGAGCAGGTGGAGAAGGGAAAACTCCCAGTAGGCGGGGCTGTGGGAATTCCTTTCAAGCTCCGCCCCTTCCCTTAGCCTTGCTGCCTGAGCCCAGAGCTTAGGAGTCTGACTCCTGGGTCTTCCCGCCCTGATCACAGTTCACATCCCTGCTCCAGCACCTCTCAACCTTGTGGGAACTTGGTTTTGTTTTACCGTTGATTTGAAATTTTCCCCATTTTCTTCCCAACAAGCCACACCCCATTTGCTCAGGCCATGACTGAGGCTGACCAAGCAGCCCAGACGCTACCCATTCATTTTCCTACACTGCCATGAGCAAAACCTTCAGGACTTTCCTTCCCAGCCCCAGATCCATTCTTCTGAGGCTCTTCAGCAAGGAGCACCATTTTTTTTTTTTTACTGTGGGTTTGATTTTTTTGAATCTGTCCAAAGAACTTTGGACTGAATTTTGGTGGATAATAAAATAGGAATATGATGTTGAATCTAAAATAAGATGTGCTAAAAGATCACAAGACTGATATTTTCCCCATCTGGCCCATACTTTCACTCTGGACGTATTCCAAAAGAGGGCCTCTTGTCCGTGTTTGAGGCAACGACGACATCATTGCAATCGGCCAAACAAGGCCATAACTTTGCAAAGCAGCTTGATTGAAATTATGACTTCCAACACTTTTTTTAAAAAGGCTTCATGACTTTTAAATACCACAAATGTGTGTCTGTGTAAACACACACAGAAATAGATGTCATAACACAATGATTGTTTGTTTCCAATGGAAGAGCCTCAGGCACTCACCCAGTCCCTATGATCAGTTTGTTGTACTGTGGCATGCTGATGACATCTGTCACCCACCTCGGCTTCCGGCTGATGGACTTGTCCTAATGTGCGGAGGAGTGGAAATAAACAAAAATACACCTTTTTAATGATAGGACAGTTTCATAAGACAATAGGTGTGCTTAAAATTATAGTTTTTAAAATCTGATGTTGTCTTTCAAGTAAAAAGAACTTGCTACATAGATTCAAAGAGCTACATTTATCCCCTCTCTCTAGGGAAGGCTTATCTGGCAGCCTGAGGGGTTTAAGATCCGAAGGAACTTCTAGTGTAGAGGATAAGTTGCCAGAGGGCAGAGGTGAGTTTCTATATCCCCAGCCCCCAGCAGAGAGCCTAGGCTCTGTCGAGACTCAACTATATGTTGAACGAGATAATAATAATCATAAAGACTTTAAGAGAGAATATATTCCGAAATAGGTCAGGCATTTTTATTCCTATCTTCAGTCTGCTTCCCGAATGCTTTCTTGCCTCTGAATTTCTGATTCTGTGATTCAATACGTTCTCTGAAGACAAACCCTAGGATCTCCACCTAAACTGAAATAATCATTAACGGGGGGGGGCGGGGGGGAGGAAAATTCTTTTCCATTTGTCATTGATTAAGACATATGATAAATTCCATGATGGAATCATGTGTCATTCATTACTCCATCTGATTTTAGAAGCAAAATGAAGCACTATCTTGTACTACATATAGGGATCATATTTGATTTGCATTCTATAGGCTAGCAAGAGACAACATGAATGTATTACATTCAAGGACACAATTTCTGTAATCACGCCACTTGAAGAGCAGTTTAAAATAGCAAATAAAATCAAACTGGAGCACTCAGCATCCTTATCAAATGAAAATCACATACAAAAACTCTCTTTCTCCTTTTCAACTTCAGCTGCAGGGACCAGAAATAAATCGTGCCATCTTCTCTGATCATGATTAAGGTGTCGTCAGGCATAGAGAGAATGCGCAGCACGGGACCCCCATGTGCTGGCCCCTGCGGCACAGCAGGCAGCTGGAAGGAAACCTCTTTCTGTTGGGCCAAAGCATCCGCTTGCTCTGAATACTGGAGCTGCAGATATGTGCAGAAACCATCCTGGAGAATGAAAGGAAATTCATTCAACATCCACCATGCTTCTTCCTTTCAAAGGTTCTCTTTACCATCAGGGTGTGGATAATGCCTTTCTCGGACACAACATAATTATTTGTACAAACCAGTTCATTAGTATGCCCAAAACTCAACGGTCATAATTGGGTGTGCCTGTTTAGTTGGGGCTGGAAGTCTATCACCCAGCTTGGGCTCCCTTCCCCACCCCCAGTCTCTCTCTCTTTCTCTCTCTCTCTAAAGAAGAAGAAGATGATGATGGTGGTGGTGGTGGTTGCAGTGGTGGTGATTGACAGTATACGATGTTCTAGGCAACCTTGACTTTCCTCTCAATTCTCTTGATACCTGTATGAGATAGGTACTACTGTTCTTCTCATTTACAAATTTGGAAACCCAAGCTTTGAAAAAGTTAAACAGCTTGCCCAAGATCAAACAACTAGTAAGTGACTGGCCAGAGACTCGAGTCCTTACGGATCGACTGCACAGTTCCCACCCACCACGATATATGCCTTATTTAGAATCTCAGCGGTACACCTAGGGAAAAGAACTCTATGGTTATAGGCACAGGGTGGGGGAACTTTAGGGCCTGGGAGCACCTCTTTTCTCTCCACTGCCCCCAAAGCCTCACTTCACTAGAACCTCTCTTTTCTGAAATCCTGACTTGCTATTCAAATCAGATGACAATGTAAACACTTGTATTTGATTTGGTTGGGGAATTGGCCCAAGGTCTGTATAGAGATGTCTTACTGCCCAAGCTGTCATTTTAGAACTTAATTCATCATGGAACAATAGAAGGGCACGGACAGACACAATGGCAGAGAATGTTTAAAGCAGATGTCTCCGTTCCTTGTTATTATACGATCCAAATTGGGTGATATTAATAATGATGATGATGATGATGATATTTGTTGAGAATTTACTTTGTGACTATCCCTGTTCTAAACATTTTACATGTATTAACTGATATGATTATCTCACAGAATTTCTTGCTCACTGATATTTCACCTTTGCTTTGGGGTAAGGTGACAAATGTATCTTTTTTTCTGTGGTTTTAGGACACTCCTCTTGGAACTTGCGTTAGCTACTAAATCCCTAGTTAAACTATTCTAAGTTTAATATGACATTACAAAATTTGAAAACTGTGAACAAGTATATGACCCTCAGTTCAGCTTCAAGTTGACAAAGGCACTGGGGGGCATAGCCTACCCAGCACCAACATTTTACGTTTTTCCTTTATTAATCTCCAATTTGATTATAAAGCATAACCCAACTTACCCATTCAATTCTGCCCATTGATTCATAGTCTATTTTCATGAAAAGTTGTTCTATTTGTTTAATACTCTGGAAAGGAAAAAAAATCTGTTTATAGACAGCACAGGAGTAAACTCTTTACTAGGTTGTTGAGGGAGAAGATGCAGAAGGAAAGGAAATCTTAATTTTTTTCAACTTATGAATTTCACAGTAAAATGCACAATACTCAAAGATCTCTGGAATGCCTGTCCAAAACATTAATAGGACAGTTAGTTGGAGTTCAGTGCACTGACCCTAAAACTCTTTCCCCATGAGATACTGGGGCTCCTAGAACTTCTATTTTTGAAACAAAGCCCCAATTAGCATGAAGAGCTTTGTGTCTCTCAGCTCCAGTGCTCCCAGACTACCCTGGTCAGTTCTTTAGGGACCCCACTTTAGATAACAGCAGAACAAGTTCTGGGGGAAGGGGTAAGAGTGCTCCCTTGGGTGTATCCCAAAGCAAGAAGACATGCAGGTCATGAACATTATTATTGAGTATTAGAAAGATTATTCTATGAAAAGGAAAGAAGATTTCTTCTGTGTGGCTGTAATAAGCAGATTATAAAATGGACCCAATGATCCCTACTCTTGGTGTTCATGGTCTATGTAATCCCCTCCCCTTGAGCAGCTTGCTTGTAGCCAATACAATACCTTAATGTAGAGGGTAATGTCATTTCTATGATTCAATTACATGAGATCCTAACTTTGGCCTTGTTAACAGGCTCTTCCCAGCTCACTCCGATGAGGCCTGCTGCCCTGTTGTGAGCCGCCCTGATGAGAGGCCAACACGGCAAGGAACTGAGGGCAGCCTCCGGGCAGCAGTTAGCAAGGAAATGAATCCTGATAACAACCATGTGTCCTTGGAAGAGGATCTTTCCCCAGCCAAGCTTTCAGATGAGACCCCAGTAATAGCTACCACCTTGATTGCAGCCTCATGAGACACCCTAAAACAGAGAACCCAGCTAAGCCATGACTGAATTCCTAACTCCCAAAAAATGTGAGATAATAAACATGTATTGTTTGGGGCACCTGGGTGGCTCCATCAGTTATACGTCCGACTCTTGATTTTGGCTCAGGTCATGTCCTCACGGTTCAGGAGATTGAGCCCACAGCACAGAGCCTGCTTGAGATTCTCTCTCTTCCTTTCTCTCTGCCCCTTCTCCTTCCCCTCTCTCTCTCAAAATAAACTTAAAATCAATCAATCAATAAGTATTGTTTTAAACTACTAAGTTTGTAGTAATTTGTTATGGTGGCTCAAAACAATAGAAACTGAGCTAATGGGTAAAAGATTAAGAAAGACCAATTTTAGTTCACAAAGAGGAAAAAAAGTTTCTAATATCAAAGCTCTCTGACCTTGAAATGGGCTGCCTTGTAAAGGATTGTGTTTTCTTTAGCTGACGGTATTCAGGCATCTGCTGACTCACGGCTTATCAGAGAAGAAAATTTGAGTATTGAAGGAGTATATACCCGGTAACCTCTAAGGTCCTTTCAAACCCCAAGCTTCTGTAATTTCAGGAGTGTATGTAGAAGGTTGTTTCAACAGAAATGGAAAGGGTATACTTCTATTTGGGAGAGTAAAATGCTGCCTTTTCGAGTATAAGTCCCAGGTGTGTTTGCCTTTGCATAGTGATGGCAGTAAAAGGGAGAAAAAAGATAATGCCTGGTGTTCAAGACACCAAGGCATTGCCCCTTAGTGAATCAACACTCAGTGCCAGTGTAGAGGTTGTGAGAGAAGACCCTGGCTGCAGAACTCAGCTCAGCCCCCAGTTGCCTATAAGACATGCTCAAATGGAGACGTATCATCCTCCCAGATGTGGCTGACAGCGCGGACTCCACCATGGCAACTAGACAATACCATGCGCATAATATGTAACAAATGGTTTTGAAATGAATGTCCAAACAAACCAAAACACCCAGAGGGGTGCCCTCAAGAAGAGCCTAGGGCCATCCCTCGGCTTGAGCCCAGGTTCAAGAGATGGAATGGAAATAGAAAAGCTCAGGATGAGAGAAATCACTGCCTGGGCTCAGGCTACCCATCTATACCACCTTGTCACCACACACCAGAGTGTAGGGAAGCTTTGAGTGCGCCTGGGCATCTTGGAGCTCCAGACAACGTGCATCGGGCAAGGGTCACACGTCATTGCAAGCCCTGGCAGGATTTGGCCCTCAGACAGGGCATGGGTCATCAAATGGTCTCTCTTCCAGCCCAGAGCTGGGACAGGGTGGGGGGTAGGATAGATCTATACATAAATGGATTCTGCCCATGGCACTGCCTTCTCAGCGAGATTATGTGGGATTCTGACAGGCATTTGCCTACTTCCTCCACGCAATGACTCACTCACAGAAGAAACACAGATTGAGCACCAATGGTATACCATGTGCTGTGTCAGATGCTGAGGCCTCAAGAGCTGAAATGTGTGTCACCTGCCCTCACACCATTCACTGTATAGTGGGGACACAAACAAGACAAAGATGTAACACAAAGTGATTCATTCTCTGCCCCAGGTAACTACAGACCACTGTCAGGTTAAAAGAAGCATCTCTTAATTTCTAGGAAAGCTAGGACAGACCCTTTCAAGTCCACAATGGCCTCACTGCCTTAACATCATTCATTCATTCAACATTTATGGGGCACCTGAATGTGTCACACACATGGTGCTAGATTCTGATAATATTTTAAAAAATCAGAATTCAGAGAGTCTTTTCTGAAGCAAAACATGGGAGGAGAGCATTCTAGGCAAAAGGAACAGTACATGTAAAGATATAGAGTAAGAAAATAGGGTATCACTTCTTCTACTCTCCGCAAAACCCAAGGGCTTGGTGGACTTTTGGACTAAGACTCCCATTCCTATAGATGCCACCCACGTCTGAAATGCTCAGCCTGTACATTGTGCTCTTCCTAAATGCTATTCTTTAGTGCCCTCGACCTTTTCTGGCATTAAATTTTGACTAAGTCAACACTTCCTAGAAAAAGTGAAGGGGATAATTCCTGTTTTTTTAGCAGGGACTAGACTATGAAACCCTAGAACAGTGGAGAGGACATGGGACTGTTAGGTGTTCCTCTTAGCCATCCTTCCTTACTAAGAGAACATACAACTTTTAACTGAACACATGTTTCCTCAGAAAAAAATCACCACATTTACCGGGCTCCTTTGTGGCTGTATATGACATGTGATTCATTTCTGACTGAAAAGTTAAAAAAAAAAAAATCACAGGCAGCTTTTGAGAATTGTCCTTAAAGGGAAGGAGTACATTCTTTTTTGCCCCTTCTCTCTTCCTGCTGTCTGGAGTGAGATCATGTTGGCTAGAGTCTGAGCAGCCATCTTGAGCCATGAAGAAGAGCCCACGTGCTGACAGCAGGAGAGCATGACAGGCTTGCCCTGATGACAGGCTTGCCCTGATGACTTAATGAAGCCCCGTGACTGTCCCAAATGCCTTCCTGAGAAGCTGAGGTACATTACTCAGAATCTCCAACCTTCTGTCTTTTCAGCTACAAAATAAATAGGAATGCCTTCCAACAAAGCTATTCAGATATTCAGAGACTAATGAAATGAAACACGTAAAGACCCTAAGACAGTATGGTCACACAAACACAAATGAATTGTTTGATAAATAAGTAAAGGGAGACATGGTTTTGTGGCTCCTCGGTGATATACTGTATAAAATTAACCTTAGTACAAGTGGTCCCAAAAAATCTGATCCCAGTCCTACATTCTGTTGTTCATATTCCCTAGAGGTGTTTGACAGCAGCATGCTGGCTTTTGCCTGTGTGTCTCTGGAAATGCTGGTCCGTCTTCTGGAAGACCTTGCCTGTCTATCCCTCCTTTATGGAGCGATTCCCTTCATGCCTCAAAACTCAGCCCAAGTTTTGTCTCCTCCAGGCCCAACTCCCTGGTCTGGGTGATATGCCCCCACGGCACCCACGCTGAATTCTAGAGTGGCTCTGATCTCTCTGAGGGTAGAGACTATATCTTAACTGACTGTGTGCCCCACGGACTAAAACAAAGCCTTAGTAACTATTTATTAAGTAAATACTGGCCCACTAAACATTTACTGAATGGATGAATGAGAGGGTAAGGGAGTGAGTGGCTGACTAGGCGGCCAGGCATTCTTAAAATATAGGTAATTAGACTGCTGTGGTTAAAAAGATCTGTAATGTTGGACACCCAATAATTTATCCATTTAAAAACACTCTCTCCTCCAAACAGAAGTTCTTTGTATATAGTATTGCACAAATAGAGGGGTGATTGTTTAAAAATAGGTTCCATTTAATGATCATTTCTCATCGTAGGAGAAATTTTAGACACACCTAAACTTCACTGTGGCTGTTAAAACTGTGGGTTTTGCACTTAGAAGGGGCATTCTTTTTTCAAATTCCAGGGACTAGATCTAAGAGCTTTACCTTGAATTTGCTTTTATATATAATTTAAGCTGTAATCAGGAAGACTTAGTAAGTGGAGCTGGAAGAGCCCCTTCTTTTAGAATATGATTATATATACATAATGATTATTTAAATAGAATTATTTATTGCTATGGACTGAGTGTTTGTGTTCTGACCCCGCCTCCAAATTCATATGTTGAAGTCCTAATGGCTGATGTGATGGTATTAGGAGGTGGGGACTTTGGGAGGTGCTCAGGCCATGAGGATGGAGCCTTTGTGAATGATGTTTGTGCTTTTATGAAAGACACCCCACAGAGCTCCCAAGTCCCTTCTGCCACATGAGGACATAAGGAGAAGTCTACAACCTGGAAGAGAGCCCTCACCTGACTCTGATCTCAGACTTCCAACCTCTGGAACTGTGGAGAATAAATGTTTTTTTATTTGTTTGTTTGTTTGTTTGTTTTTTTAATTTCTGAGAGAGAGAGAGAGTGTGAGCAGGGGAGGGTCAGAGAGAGGGAGACACAGAATCCAAAACAGGCTCCAGGCTCTAAGCTCTGAGCTAGCCGTCAGCACAGAGCCCTACACGGGGTTTGAACCCACAAACTGTGAGATCATGACCTGAGCCGAAGTTGGGTGCTTAACAGACTGAGTCACCCAGGCGCCCCAGAATAAATGTTTTTTTATAAGCCACCCAGTTTGTGGCATTTGGTTAAAGGAGACTGAATGGCCATTCATTAAGATTTCATATTCTTTTTTTTTTTAATGTTTATTTTTGAGAGAGAGAGAGAGAGAGACAGAATGTGAATGGGGGCAGGAGAGGGGACACAGAGAGGGAGACACAGAATCTGAGGCAGGCTCCAGGCTCTGAGCTGTCAGCACAGAGACCAACACAGGGCTGGAACCCATGAACTGTGAGGTCATGACCTGAGCCAAAGTCAGACATTCAACTGACTGAGCCACCCAGGTGCCCCAAGATTTCATATTCTCAGCTAACAATTGAGCTAACCAGGATGGCAGAAGGAATGTTTAAACTATTTAATTCCAGTCCACACTCTTTGGAAACAACAGATAGATCTTCTACAATTTAGGATAATCAGGGTACTTCCTGATAATCCTATTGTAAGTTGAAAATATCTTAAGTGGAAAATGCATTTAATATACCTAACCTATCAAACACCATAGCTTCGCCTAGCCCACCTTAAACGTGATCAGGACACTTACATTAGTCTTCAGTTGGGCAAAATTATCTAATGCAAAGTCTGTTTTATTTTAAAGCATTGAATACTACACTGAAGGTGACAAACAGAATGGTCATCTGGGTACAGAACAGTTGTTAGTGACAGCCCTTGACCTTCATGAGTGCGTGGCTGACTAGGCACCGTGGCTGCTGGCCAGCATTACAAGAGAGGCTCAGACCACATCGCTGACTCTGGAGAAAAAATAAAAACTCAAAATATGGCTCCTACTGACCGCATATGATTTTCACATACATCTTAAAGTCAAACTATCATCAGTTGGGGACCGTCTACAGACATAACTAGTGATCCAACAAGAACCTTCCTCTCCTTCTCAATAAAAGTTTGTAAATATCTTGTTGGTTGAGTATCTTTTAAATAATTGAACCACAATAGCTAAAACATGGAAAGAGCCTAAGTGTCCATCAACAGATGAATGGATCAAGAAGATGTGGTTTATCTATACCATGGAATACTACATGGCAATGAGAAACAATGAAATCTGGCCATGTGTAGCAACATGGATGGACCTTGAGGGGGTTATGCTGAGCGAAATAAGTCAGGCAGAGAAGGACAAATATCATATGTTTGCACGTATAGGAGGATTAGGAGGAACTTGACGGAGGAACAAGGGGGAGAAGAAGGGAGGAAATGGTGGGGGAAAGGGAGAGAGGCAAACCATGAGAGACTCTTGAATGCTGACAAAAACTGAGGACTGATGGATGAGGGGAGGAGGGGGGGATGGGCATGGAGGAGGGCACTTTGGGGATGAGCACTGAGTGTTATGTAGAAACTAATTTGACAATAAACTATTTGTAAAAAAATAAAATAAAATAAATAATTGAAAAATATTTTCCCAAATAAACTGTTCTGTGAATCAGGCAGATATTAGCAGAAATCAGTTTAGAGCTGAGAGTGATCTTACAGATAGAACATCAAGCCTAATTCGTTCATACAGGTAAAGTTTTAACTATGGTTTTCAATAATCCAACATTCATAAAATCCATTTACTTTACTCTGTGACCTCATACTCTGCTTCATTATGCATTTGAACGTTTCCATGTCCAGCATCTGTCTTCCTCTCTTTTCATACTTCTAGAAGGGAAAAAGAATAATTAGCGATGAAAGTAGTTGCATTTTTGTTTAGTCTGGGAGCACCGAAAGTCTAATTAGACTTACCTAAACCTTGTCAACATCTAACATGCTATCTATCCCCTTTTGTTCATTTCTCTCATGCATTCACAATTTGTTTCTAATTCCATTAAGAAATGACAATTAAGGAGAATTTATTTTTCACTGCTATGTTATAGGAATTTAAAAGGATTGTACTTTGCACCGAAAAATCAGCCATCAGAGAGAGAATCAAATTACCCGATGAATATCTAGAAAGCTCACCTGGTCAAGTCTTACCTGAAAGAGTGCATTTATGTTCTGTAGCACTTCTAGGGTCATTAGATCTTCGATCTCATGAAAAAAAAAGAAAACAAGTTAAAAACATATAACACCAATGGTAATGCCCATAAAATGCAACTTCTGGAACCCCTAATGTCTCCCTTTATGAGAGGCCACTGAGACAGTTAAGCCTCCAACACTGAGAATAGTCCAACCCTCATTTTTCCTAGCCTCAGTTCCAATTCAGTTGACTTCCCAGTTCCCAGTTCTGGGGGAGGAGTGGCTGGATGGGGCTGGAAGAAAGAGCAGGTAGCGATGGAGTAGGAGGGGAAGAGAGGACAGTCACAGACTTGTCAGGACCAGGACAGAAATGGGAAAAGGGAGACTGAAAATATTTTGCTACATCATATTCCAAAGACTTTCTCTTCCCTATCAGGTGTCCTGTGCAGTAGATCTGCTTTCTGCCACATCCTCTGACCCCAGTTCCATCTCAACCCAGGTAGAACCAGGAGGAAGTCCTGGGAGAAGTGATCTAGGACCTCTTTTCGTGGGGTACATTTTCAGAGGCTCTTGGTATATGGGGTATGAGGGAAACCAGCCATCTTTTAGTCACCTGTCCTTAGTTCAACAAACAGACCACCAGAGGATGCCCCTCTCACCCCCAGCCTCTGAACTACCATCTCAATGATTTGGCTTTTTTAAACAAAAATCTCTAAACTTCTGGCTTAGAATGAATGAATAAACTGTGACCAGCCAAGTTAAACTCCAGTGTTCTTGCCCCATGTCATGAGGCTTGAAGAAGATAGCAAAGGACGAAATTGGTTATTTCCCCCAATAGAATTATCCTCTGAAATCACTATGCCCAGCCTCTAACCTTCCAGGGTAGTGGCCTTTACCATAAAACTCAGACTGACACCAAGCTATTGAGAGACACATCATTTCATAAAATTGAAGTACCTTTCAAATTCTATCTTGAATGATCCCATAATTACTTTTTAATTTGCTTTCATCAAGGAACAAAATTGGAAACCTAGCTCTAGAAGGGGAAAACACTCCACCTGAAGTTTCTAGTTAAAATTTCCATGTAGAGCTTTTCTGGTAAGGGCTGAACCTAAAAGGTAATATTCAAAAGCTGACTGGGGGAATCATCTCCATAGTATAAAAGATGATTCCATCACACTGAGGGATCGTTTCCCTTACCCAACAAAACCCATTACCAGTGAATGAAAAAGTTCTTGGACCAAACCTTCTCCAAATCCAAAAACAGCAGATGAGAGTTTATGAGGCTCACATGCAACACATATAGAAAAATGTACATGAATCTGACGTCTAGCAAGATGGCACCTCTCAGAGCATGTGACTTCTCATCCTGCACCCTAGACATGAGTTCCAGGGAGGGGCAAAACAATTTTTTAAAGATTTTGAAAATTATCTCCATTAAGATTGAAAAATTATGGGCAAGACATGCTATCATTCCAATTTTTTTACATTCTATCTTTCTGAGTCTTTCTGATTTTAAATATACAACATACTTTATGAGCCTGTATATTATATAAGATATGTACTCCTAAACTACAGAGTGACTCTAGATTTGTACAAGGCGGTAAAAACATGTGCAGATATGTTATCCTTCCTTCTGTCTTTTCACTGCCTTGATACCTTTCCTTTCCTCTTAGCTTCAAAATTTCCTGAAATTTTACACCTTGTGATTATTTGTCCCCTAACTCCCTTATTATATGAAACTGGCATTTGACCTTGCTCTATTTCCATTACTGAAAGAGAATAAACAACAAAAAAAATTGCCCTACCTCCCAGGAGGGGGCTCCCCAATCCAGAAAGAGACTAACTCATCTTCTCTCAATAAATTTACCAGAAAAGCTGCTGAAAGAGGAGTGTGAACGCCATCATAAATAGCAGAAATGAAGGGCATGAAATCTACAGCCAGTGTGATTATATAATTTATAAAGGGCTTTGTGGTAATTTTCATTAACGTATAAATGTAACCAAAAAGCCTCATTTTCTCCCCAGAGCCATCTCTCCATCCCCAGGAAATGTGCTATCCCTCCCTGCCCCTCCTACATTATTATACTCCCACAGCCTTCCAATTTTCCAAGGTTCACTCTTTGTTATCCTGATCATTCTATTCCATCCTGGCTCCAAAAACAATTTTTCCTGCGTCCCTTCTCCCACCTTCCACCAAAAGAAAAAAAAAGAAGGAAACAGATGAAAGGTAAGTATTTTTCAGGCTTGCCGTGCAAAACTCTGTTAACTAAATTTCCATTGCGCTTAAGAAAACAGTTCTTAAATCTCACAGACCTCATCAAATTTTCATATGTCATGACGGAAATCAAAAATCCAATGATCATTAGCCAACTTCTTCTGAAAAGGCAGCAATATAAATACGTTTTGGAGAAACACGGGTACAAAACAGAGCCATTATTGTGCTTTTCCTTGAAAATATAAATCAGGCCTTCACATAATTGCATGTTTTTTAAGGCAAATTTGGAACACAAAGCAGAGAAAACATATGTCCCTTCTGGGTACTCCTGTGCTTGGCAGAGCCTGAAAATTCGTAACTGCCATCGACAGCAAGTCACATTGTATCACTAAAAAGCTTGAATGACTTGTTTTCCTACAAATAAAAACAGGGAGAAAAGCCTGACTATTTTATTTCCAAACTATCATAGCTACAGTGACAACCATAAATAATTCAGTCTACAATTGTGGAGTCACATTTTAAAGATATTATCTATTGCCCAGCAATGCATTTTGCTCTACTCAAATGCAATTTCATAGAAAATTACCTGGATAATTCTCTAATATCCTATATTAGAGGGGAATTCATGGAGCTATAATTCTGCTTGTCCTTACATTGCCGTCTCCCCAAAGCAAGTGGTTTTTATGATTAGAGTGATTTTCCCATAAGAATTCATTTGCCTGCTGGTTGCTCATTTGCATTGCAAATGAATTCTCCTATTGTTACAGCCCAACATCTTTGTGCTTCTCACTGTAAGAGCCTCCTCAGTCAGGATGGTTTAGGGGTAATTTCACATCTCCGACAAGGGAATTGACTAATTAATCGAATAAAGTATCCTTTTGAAAATCTGTTCCTTGAGCGGCTGCCTCTATAGCTTCAGAAAATAGATATGATCCTGTGGTCTTAAGAATTTCCAAGAGAAAATAACTTCAGAGGGTTTGGGGTGTCCTATGGGTTGAAATTTAGGAGATTCCGTGGCAGATCATGTGATGAAGAGGAAAAGAGGCAGGCTGCAGGGAGTTGTCCACTGAACCTAGCTGGTGAAAGCATTTGTGTGCCTAAAGATCATAGCATAAGCTAGGGAAGAAGAGAAAAAACAAGGGAGGGGGGTTTTCTGGGTGAGTGTTCCAGGAATTCTCAAACCCACCATCAGCCAAGGCTTTAAAAAAAGACGATCGTTTTAGCCATGGTAGGAGCAAAAAGATTAAAAGAGTAGCTTCAATCTTAAAATAATTACTGCACCTGAGGCACCACCGCCACTACCCCCTAACCTTTACTGAGCTGGCCACTGGGCATCTGATCTGCATGTTTCCATCACCCTTCATAACTCTGTAAGGAGATTATGTTCCCTAATTTAAAAGTCAGGAAACAGGGGTGCCTGAGTGGCTCAGTTAGGTAAGCGTCCGAGCCTTGATTCTGGCTCAGGTCATGATCTCACAGTTCCTGGGATCCAGCCCTGCATCAGGCTCCACACTGACAGCACTAAGCCTGCTTGGGATTCTTTCTCTCTCCTTAAATAAATAAATATTGGGAAACCAAGGCACAGAATGGCCAATGAATTTTCCCAGCTTCCCACAACTAGTCACTACTGGAAGGAGGATCCCCACACAGGCTGTCTGTGCTGCGGACCAGGTCCCTGATCACCCAGCTGGATGTTTTGCTGCCCAGCCTCTGCCTGAGGTCCTGGGACACCTCCCAAGGGAACACACACAGATGAATGGACTGTGGAGAAATATGGATTTCAAGACCTATCCCGTTCACTATCATTCACGTCCCTCCTCTGGACAATCTAAAAATCAAAATGGATTGTTTCAGCTCAGGTTGCTGGTACCCTAAAGATGGCCCTCAGATTCCCCTTTACTTGGAGATATTCTTACTCTCTTATATCGGTTATGGTTATATGTTATGTGGTTAAAAGTGTGGTGACATTGGAAGAGTCAAATCCTTCCTCTTCCCTCCATGAGTATTAAAGACTTCCCACCACAGGGAGATTTTACAGCTTGTGTAATGGTTTAAAAGGGTCCAAATTTGTTGCAAGGAGCAGCCCAAGCATTTCCCAGCTTGTTTCTCTAAATTAACCTAAAATGAATACATTCCTGCTTTTCCAGCTGCTTCGGTAGATTCCACAGCCTCCGAGTGGTTTAGAGAGAGATACTTCCTCCAGCCTCACCAAATAAGTAGGACAAGGCTGACCTTGCATGTGTGTTCTGATCAACAGTAGCAGTCAAGTCCTATGTTGAGGAGAATTGTGAAGCAATATTCACTCTTGGCAGAGAAAAGCCAAGATGGATTTGCTGTGCCACGAGCTGCGGGTGGGGTTGGGGGGTAGGGGGAAGAGTGAGAACAGGAGCAACAGATCTGTACCAGGAGCAAGGCAACCAGGGAAAGGGCCAGAGAAGGACTGAGCTGGAAGGGATCTTAGAACCCAGAGAGTCAGCCCTCTTCCTTTACAGTGGGGAAACTGAGGACCAGAAAAGATAAGTAACTTGCCCAAGGTCACAGTAAGATCAAGACTGGAAGTCTGGTTTCCTTCTACAACAGAAATGGAATGAACCCTTCCCATGGCTGGAACAAGTCTACTGGAACTTTCCCCATGAACCAAATGCAGACTTAGAAGGACAGGGATGTTCCCAGTTGTTATCAGCCTCGCATCCCGCGCCTCCCCCCCTCCCCACCCCAGGCTTCCCTCATACCCTCTCACCTCACTGTCCTTCACCCCAGCCCTGCCTCCCTAGGAGGTCCTTAATCACATCCTGTGTCCCTTTTAAGCTGTCTCCTGAGGGCACCTCCTCACCTACCACCTGTAACTCCTGTGTTAGCCTGCAAAGGGGAGAGGGGCTCCTGTCATGACTCCCAGAGTTCTAGGCACTAGCTGTTGATAGCCACGATCAGAGAAGGGAAGACCAATAGCCTGGGGACAGAATCAATCAAAGCAAATCCAACTTCACTGCTCATTGTGGCAAACTGTGAAAATGGCCCACGTCTGCCAAGTAACAACACCTTCCCATCCTGTTCCTGGGTCTGGCGTGGAGACTAGCTGCTTTGGTCAATGGAAAATTAGAAAACATGATGCAAACAGAGGCTTAAAAAGTGTTTGCACAACTGGGCACGTCCTCTTGCTCATGCCATCGACATAAAGACATGCCAAGTCTAGTCTGCTGGAAAATGAGAGACACTCATCTCAAATGGTTCCAGTCATCCCAGCCACTCAGCTCTTAGATCAGCTGACAAGCTACTGGTTTCCAGACATGTGAGCCAGCCAGGCATAATGGACGCAGCTGACTCTGTGGCATGTGAGAAGCCAATTTGTAGTGTTGGATGCCGCTGAAGTTCTGTGCTGCTTGATCTGCAGTGTCGCTGTGGCACCAGATCACTGACACACGGTCACTCACCAAATGACTGGGCGTCTACCACAGGCAGGTATGCCCTTCCATGTTAGGTACTGTAAATCATGACCTCTAAACTTTCTTTTATATCACAATCTTAGGTGAGAATCTGTTAAACATATACATATGTGTCTTCTATAAATTATATATATGTAAATACACATATAAAATTTCATAAAACATTGTGAGCATGTATATATATATGTATATACACATATATGATTTATAGCATGCATATATATATATATATACATGTTTAGCAGATTCTCGGTGAGGATTTTGATATAAAAGAAAGTTGGAAAGTCATGATTTTGTGGAACACTATTTACCTTTAATATATTTGAGGCACTCTACTTCTTATTCTATTCTCTTCTATTTCCTTTTTTACTCCCCTTAAGTCATGCTTATTATCATCTGCTAGGCTGATTTCCTGACCCACAGGACCCGCAGTGTGAAAAACACAGCAGACTGTGTCACAGACTTTCTCATGGTAGCCAACAGGCCTCATTGATTTTTGTGTTCTCAGTACCCTTCTCGGTAACGGGCACAAACTAGCACTCAACAAATATCTGTTGAATTCTGTTGACTGAAGAGAAGCTGATAGCTTCAAAATTCCTCAGTGTGCATTTTTGTGCATTTTTTTCATCCCTGCCTGCTGGATCTTCCTTTATCTCCCGCGATTTCAGAGACATGACAATTATTGTTCTCCCAGTGCCATCCCTAGGCTCAATGCAAACCATTTACAAGTCAATATTCACACACAGCGCCATCAAAGTAAAGAATCCTGGTGCCCTATCTGTCTACTCTCAGTGGCAGACCGGCCTGCAGAAGTGACAATCCCACTCTGAGTCTGAGCGGACGGGTATGTGATGGTGGAAGATGTGGGTAGAAACGGTATCATATGAATCATTGTCTCCTTGCATTGAGTATCATGTCTGGCACAGAGTAGGTGCTCAAAAAATACCTATTCAATGGAACTTAACTTACTTCGTCCCTCTGGGTCCTGGTTTCTTTACGTATAAAGAAAGGACGTTTGATCAGGATCTTTTCAGCCTTAAAAGCCAGGCTGTAAGTAGTGCCAACCAAATGTGAATGTATGCAGAGGTGGGGTGAGCCACTACACACTGTGCTTGAACCGTGTCAGGAGGGGCCCCACAGACACTCTGCTCACTGACCAATGCCAGAGTCCAGCTAGACTTTCTTCTTCACATTGAGGTACTCAGCCTTGTTGAAGTACAAAATCTTCTGCAAAGGTATATTCAAGACATTATCAGTCTTGTACACTCAGAAAAGAAAGAAATTTCTAGGTCTTGCCCTGAGAGGGCTTCAAGAGAGGGAGGAGTGTTATATGAAGGAGCAGATGGAACAGGAACAAGGCTGGAGCCCTGTAAGATGAAATAAGTCTGGAGACGGTGATGATAAACTTGAACTAGCCCACAGTGGGCTGGCTGTGCTGTCTACTGCCTTTCCTCAGCTCTTTCCCACTGGCTGTCAGCACAGAAGTTAGCGGTAGAGCAGAAAAAGTCTCCATCTCCTAAATCCAAAGCCAGAACTCTACTCTATGAGCAATGCTGGCTCTTCTAGTTTCTAACACAAACCAAAAACTGCTGCTGTGTGCCTGTTTTCCCACAGCTGATTTCAATATGTGCCACACAGGCCAGCCCTTTTGCTTTGAAGTGGCTTCAACCCACAGCCTCCTGCATAGCCTGGATTCCTCACTGTCCCACACAGGCTTCATGCCAAGAGACTCAGATCTTGTCACTATTCCGGGATGGCAACGGGGAGCCCCCTGGCAGGCACAGCCCTGTTACAGTGTGGCCAGGGCAACTGCAATTAGCAAACTATCGAAACCCAGGCTGGCCACCATCAGTCAAAAACTCACCCTCAACCACAAACTACCCCCTGCAGCTCTGCTGATGATGGAAACCCTTCAGTTGTGGGAGAGCAAGCAAGAATCTGATAGGTAAAGCAAAGCCACTCTACACTGGTTTCAGACTTTTAGAGCTGTCACCCATTTTCCATCACGATGCAGCGCACACTCAGAAAACAAAGGCTTCACAAAACACTCCTTGCACTTCTTCTGGAAGAACTCTGGTATTAACTACTGTCCGTCTTTATTTTAGAGACCAGTCATATTCCAGTAAATCATTCTCCTGGCCCATTAATTGATCTCACCCACAGTACGAAGATCCTGTCCCAAGGAAAGCTCCTTTTGATAGATGAGCTGCATGGGTCACAATGGCAAAAAAGAACAAAACCCAGTTCTCAACTCCTCATGATCCACTTCTAACTTCATTTTCCTGCATTCATTGTAGATCTGTCCCTCAGACCCCATATGCCTCAATCACTGTGTGTCCTGGAGTGTGCTGTTTCCTCCTATGGGTGACCTCTATCTATTTCACACAATCTTGGAAAAACTCCTACTCATCCTTGGAGACCCATCTCTAATGTCACGTCCTCCACGAAGCCTTTCTTGCCTCCCCCCCTCCTCATTAGAAGCATGTCTTTTATCTACAAATCTTCCACTTTTTGAAGAAGCTCCTTCAAAGAAGCTCCTTCTTCAAAAATTAGCCATAAATCCATCATCACCTGCACAGATTTTTGTCATTTCTGTTATTTACTTAATGCATTTCTGTAAATAGACTTGTTTATTTTACATGCTCCTTCTTTAGCCTCATTCTAAATAATAGTAATTATGAAATCAAGGGTTGATGTGCTGCTAGATTTCTAGGGCACATTTACCTGAATACTTTACTAATACTAAGATTAAAAAAAAATCTCACCCTAATACTATTTCCTTTGAGGAAAAACTGTGCTCATTGTATAAAATCTTGAGGGGACTATATTTTATTTAAGTTTGAGTTTTCTCTAGGGCTCAGCACACGTATTGCTCCATAAATGTTTGCTGAATTGAGATCAGATGAAATGGATTAATTGGAATTTATTCACACTCTTGACATATTAGCATGAATCTGATTTATGTGAGGAGGCCACTGTGACCTTGAAAAGCAAAGCATGATATTGGCAAGCAGCCGGACATTTAAAAAAAAATGTTGAAAGACATGGAAGGGAGAGCGAGCAAGCGTGGTGAAGCTGGCCACGTGGGTTATACGGGAGGCTCTGGGAGGTGCGTGCACTGCTGCGGAGGTGGTTAAGGAGCCTTAAGCACAGGGAGGACCCCACGTGGGCGGAGACATAGCACACCCAGTATTAACTCTGGCTTTAAACTGGGTTATTGGTCATGGACCCTAGGGGATTCCTGCCAAGCCCCAGGGCTCTGCCCAACAGACCGCATAGCCAGCCCCCCACGCCGTGGTCCGGCTCCCTGCCCCCTTACCTTGTCCGCCCTCAGGCTCCAAGTCAGGTCCGCGTGGTGCGGTGGCGTCCTCCCCTGAGCCAGGTCCTCCGTTCCAATGGAGTGGCTGCGCATCCTCTGCCTAGTGAGGCAGGCCCGAAGCAGCCAGGCCGGAGGGTTGGCTCTCGGCAGCCCCTGCTTACCCGAAGGCTGAGGTCCAGCAGGGCAAGTCTTGGCTCTGAACATTACGGGCTCTGCCAGGATCACCTCGGCATCTAGGATGCTGTCCAGACCCCACCCCAGAGCATAGTCACATTAGGGGTCTCAGTAAGGTCCCACTCCACCACCACGGCCCTCCATTCCACATGGAGTTCCCTTGTGAGCAGCTTAAGCAGCCACCTTCTCAGAAGTGGCACCAAAAGTAGGAAAGGAGTTTGCGGAGGGGGGGGGGGGGTTAGAGGCAAGATGTCTGTCTTAACTGACCAAGATGGACGACCTTAAGCTGAGCTCTTCCCACTCTGTCTTAAGGAAAAAAGAATAAAAAGAGAGAGAGAGAGAGAGAGAGAGAGAAAAGACACCCCAATATAAGCCTAGAACTATTAATTTCTTAAATATTTTCAGTTCTGAACAGACACTATAACAAGTAAGCAGTAAACAATTAATACAAAATCCATATAAGTTAAGGATTATAATTAAATAAAGCCTACAACAAAGTGAATCTGTCATGATAATTTTTATTGTAGTGCATGGTAATTAGATATAAATGACAAGTTGTTTAAGCAATAATCCTAATTACTTTTAATTTTACAAGAGTGTTATGGGGGCTGCTCAGGAAAATCCCCAAAAGTGCCTGAGATCGTTGCTTTTTCTATGTGTTTCCATCTTAAGGAAACAGACAATAATAGATCCTAGACTTTTTTTCATAAGTACTGTGCCCTTTTGTATTTGTACTCAGAGAGAGTAACACTTGCTAGTCCCTTGCTTAAATTTCTTGCTTACTGGATTTTTTTTTTAATATATTTAGAAGAAATTCATCTCTGTGGCTGCCAAGTAAGGCAAAAGAAGTTTGTAATCTTCTTTCATTTTATTGGGCTCATAATCTGGGCTCTCAGGAAAGGAACAAAGAGTTAGACCAGTTATCCCACTTGGAGGCTTAGTTATAGGGCAGACTGTGGAGTTCAGGATTATTGAATGATAAAGAGGGCATCTTTTGCAGCATCCTGGATACTACTTGATTGCCAGATGTGGAAACTGAGTCTACAGAGCTTGTGAAAATCTTTGAAGAGTCTCTTATTCTTTGTGCCCTGGAATTTTATTTCATGTGACCAAAAGAACGCTGAGTCTGTCCTGAACAAACCTCCCTAAGAATGGCAGGTATGAGGAGGAGAGGGGAAGAGAGCCAGAGGCAAACTGAGTTGAGGAGGATTTGGATGAATAGGGGAGGGGAGAAGGAGAGGGATGCTATGGGAACATGGGCATTGAAATCAAGTACCTTGGACAACTAAAGTGAGGGCCCTGGACCTCTGCAGGAAGAGGGCAAAGAGAAGAGAGTAGGCTAGGATATAGAAGCACTGCAGAAGTATGATCTTTTTTGGGGGGCAGGAGATGGTATAGTTTAGACATACAGTTATGTGGCTTATGAAGCTTAATTTCCCCAACTGTGAAATGATCATAATGACAGTACTTAACCCACAGGGTAAAAAGTAAATGCAGGGGCACCTGGGTGACTTTCGTTTAGGTCATGATCCCGCGGTTCATGGGTTCGAGCCCCACGTCGGGCTCTGTGCTGACTGCCAGCTCAGAGGCTGGAGCCTGTTTCAGTCTGTGACTCCCTCCCTCTCTGACCCTCCCCTGCTCACGCTGTCTCTCTCTCTCTCCTAGAAATAAATAAAACATTTAAAAAAATTAAAAAAAAAAATAAATGCAACATGTAAAAGTGTATGTCAAGTATTTAGAGCAGTGCAAGACATATAGTTGGTGCTCCACGCATGTTAGCTATTATTATTGTTGTTGTTATTATTGTTATTAAGGCTTGCCCTGCCCCTTCCTCCCCTACATGAGATGGACCAAGTGCTCTAGATTCTCTTGCCCATGGCTGGTTGGGTAAGGTATAGAAGATGTCCAGCAGCCCGAGAACTACTGAAGAGATGAACTGGGCCAGTAGGAGTCTCTCTCTCTTTCAGTGTTTAAACTAGGTTTTTGAAAAGCATTCAGGAAATTGCAGGAGGACAGAAAGAAGCAGACACGTAGAGCATGCAGACTTACATGGACAAGGGGCTCTACAGGAGAGATTCCTAGCTATGCTGTTTGGCTCTCAGATATTCTCAGAATCCAAAGCCACTCCCCACTCCAGCCCTATCATGGACCCATGCAGAGACAGTGTCCTGCTCTGAGATTCCCACAAGAATCCCTGTGAATCCACGTGGCTTTCCACCACCAAGCCTCTTGGCTTGAGACACTTCGAGACTCCTTTCCCTTGCAAACCAAAAACCCAAGTCGAAAAAGTGAATTGTCTCTGGTAGAGTCCATACATGGTTTCTGTTTTCTCTGTTTTTCTCTCTATTCTATATGTTCTCCAATGAGCCTAAACAATCAACTTACAGTATTTAAAATAAAAGAACTAGCCCACTTATGTGCAGTAAGTGGAAAGGGTGTATGAGGAAAATTAAGTCTAAGTCAGATCTATGTTCAGTGGTTTTCTTATTATCCAGTCACATCCCCTAAAATGAGAAAGTGGGCTAAGGAATCTCTAGGTTCCATTTTGACTCTAAACACTTAACAGATTAACTAAATAAGTTAATCTACTTATTATCCAGCTTAGCAGAATCTATAAGTCCAAACCCTCCATCTACTCTACCAGCTCCCGAGTTATGAAAGTGGTGACCTTTCAGAATGAGGGTGGGCATGGTAGCACAGTGTTGCTGAAATGCCCTGTTCCTGTCTTCATTCATTCTCTTACTCGGATCAGCATTTATTAAGCACATGACCTATACTGGACATTGTGTTAGATCCTGGCACTATGAAGACAAAAAGGATTACAGACAGGTGAGCCAATAATTTCAACACTGCAATAAATGCCGTGTTGGGGGATGTCTGTCAGAGCCCTATAACAGCAGAGAGGAAGCACTTAACTCTGGCTGGACAGGTCAGGGTGGGGGTGGGGGTGCTTCCCAAAGAAGAAGCCATTGGAGAGATAAGTATTAGTTTTCCAGGAAGACCAGAAGGGCAATGCCTTCCCAGAAGAAACAGAGCCAGTAAAACTACAGAGGCAAGAAGGAACTTGAAGCTGGAGGTAGTCATAGAGTTGCAAGCAGTTGAGCAGGGAGATGAAAGATAATAAGGACCAAAAAAAAATGAGGGGCGTCAGATCCTGAAGGAGCGTATATATCATACGAAGGAGTTTTCATCCTTCAACAACGGAGAGCCAGTGTCAGCAGGACATTTTAGAAAGACCATTCTCTCTGCAGCAAGAGGAGAGGTGAGAAGGAGCAGAGCCTGTTTTCAGGAGTCTGAGAGAGAACTGCAGAGGGCTTGAACCACAGCAGCAGTAGTGGAATGGAGGTGATGGTGGATGCATGAAGTAACAGACTTCTGTGACTTTGAAGTGGGGCAGATGAAGTGGGGCTCCAGAGTTTGGATGAGATGAATGGGAGGAGGCTATTAGAAAACCGTGGAGAGAGAAAAAAGACACGGCACTTAAGACCATATTGAATCAAAACTCCTGTTGAGATAGCCAGGAACAGAGCTCTACCAGGCAATCAGAAGTAGAGGTCTGGGGTGCCGGAGACAGGTCTGGGAGACTGCCCCACAGTGGTCGCTGTAGCATGAGGGGAGGCAGGGAAGGCTGTGTGGAGAGTGTCTTGTTCTCACTCAGAAATGGCAGTGCCACTGTTGATCATGTGCACAGGGAGCCGAGCACTTAATGGTGATGCTCAAGGTCGTCAGTTCAGAGGAGATAATGCACACAGGTTAATAAAAAAGGGTCAGGTTTGGGGACAGATACTGGAAGACAGGACACCTGAAGACTTGAGAACAAGAAAAAGAAGAGCAGGAGGCAAACTCTGGAGCCAGGACATTGGTGCTTGCCTGTACATGAGGTTGGGGAGATGGAGGTGGGGGCCCCCCTGTCCCCAAAATCTAGAGCAGCCTTGCCTGGCTGCAGGATCCCTCCTTTGGGCTGTCCTTACAGCTCCTGGATCCCAGCACGGGCACCAGTCTCATTCCCCTGGGAGTGGCCGCCCCCTTGACCCAGCTGCTCAGTCCCAGAGTCTGAGACCTTTTTAATTCTTCCTTCTCCTCACTTTCCTGGGAGTAGAACCCCAGTTTGTACAGCTGCCCAAACTCGGAAGGATAGTCATTGTGTGCCTTTTTCTCACCATCTGTCCTCTTGACTGACCCAGTCACCAAGTCATTCAATCCTGTTGTTCTCTGTTCTCATAACTGGGTCTCCCTGACTTTTGAAACTCCAATCTCTGATTATTAGCCCCAGATCCACTATCCCGCAGACCCTTTCCTCGTACTGCCCTCTGCTCAAAGCTCCCCACTGCCCTACAGAATGGCACACCTGCCAGCTTCTGGTTTTCTGCCCATGGGCAACTTGTTTAACTTCTGTGACCTTAATTTTCTGGTCTGTGAAGTGAGGTGGTTGGATCAGCTGGTCTCCCAAGGACTTTTTGTGATTTCTCTGCTGTACTTTAAAGACTCTCCTCACCTCAGACCTGTTAGGATGTCTTATTATAAATAGACAAGAGATGACAAACACGAACGAGGATGTGAAGAAAAGGGAACCCTCATGCCCTATTGGTGGGAATATAAACTGATGCATCCACTATGGAAAACAGTATGGAAGTTCTTCAAGAAATTAAAAGTAAAAATACCATAGGATCCAGGAAGCCCACTTCTAGGTGTTTATCCAAAAGAAAAAAAAAAAAGGAAATCTTGTCTTTTGCAATAACATGGGTGGACCTGGAGAGCATTATGCTAAGTGAAATCAAACAGAGAAAGACAAATACTTCACGGTATCAATTATATGTGAAATCTAAAAAAATAGTCAAACTCCTAGAAATAGAGAAGAGAGCAGTGGTTGTCAGGAGCTGGGGGTGGGGAAAATAGGGAAAACTTGGTAAAAGGATACAAACTTTCAGTTATAAGGTCTGAGAATCTACATGTACAACATGGTAATGACAGTGGACGATGCTGTCTTGTATAATTGAAATTTGATGAGTAGAACTTAAATGTTCTCACTTAAAGAAAGGTGGGATGGGGGAAGACTCTCCTTATGGG